ATAAGTGCGTCAAATAAATTTGCAAATATTGGTATAAGTGCGAATAGGCATAAGTACGCCGTATAAAATTGCAAATATTGAAATAAATGCAAATTAGTATTTTCGCACTTATGCAAATTTGCAATTATGCCAGCTTGTACCCCCACCCCCACCCTCCACCCGCATTTTGAAATGCGCTTTTTTTTGAGTACCTTCTACCTTCCTAATAGTACCTTCGCTTTTATCCTATTTATCTAACATTTAATGATATTTTTTTAATTAAGTGTCTCTTTTCTTTATAATTAACCCACTACCCTCCCATCTCATATACGCCATTTGCAGATCTCCTTTTCCCCTCCGACTTTATGGACGATCCCTTATGCCAATGTTTGCAAATTTGTTAGGCGCACTTATGCCAATTCGTACTTAAGTCATTCGCACTTTTGCCAGTTCGTACTTATGAAATTCGCGCTAGTTCAGTTGTCCCGTTAAAACTATGTAGCGTTAAAGCTATCGTCCCGTTAAATTTATGTATCCTTTGAATAATTTTTTTTTTAACTTTTTAATAAAAAGCATTTCTGTCAATTTTTGTTGTTTTTTTTACATTTGTTGGTCGTATTACAACTATACATTGCCAAAAAAAAAAAATGATAATAATAATAAACTTTCACATATATTAAATAAGGTATCTGAAAGAAGATCAAAGGATCTTGTACTCAGAACCTTAAATAAGTTCAAACAAGCATTAACAGTATCAAATTTTTACAAATTTCATATATATATAATCGAAATATATATTATATAATCCAAAGAGAGATCAGGCGGATCTACTCACCAATATTTTATATAAACGTATACTTTAAGTAAAAAATATAAAATCAACAAAATAAGTAAGAATAAACTTTTTACAAATGTAAATAAGAAAATGCAAAGTTATTAATTCATATTATTAATAATAACATAATACGTCATCTAATGAAAAATTAGGGTTTTTGTTTACTTTTAAAAAAACGAAAAGTAATGGGTAGTTCGAAGTCAAAATTGGGCAATGCAATTTTATTCAAAAGGTGTGGTGCCCGATAGGCAATACAAAGTTGATTAAAGTTCGTTTGACAGAAAGGTTTATTTAAAAAATCAGTATTTCTCAAATTGTATTTGTTGATGGGCTTTGGAGTAAAAATATCTTTGAAGACAGATTGAGACAAGTCATTTTTCCACATGTATACATAGCATAAAACATTATATATATTTAGCTCGTATATATTTAAAATTCTCATTTCAATAAAATAATGTTTGGCGCGAGAAAAGCGATTTGCAAAGCAGATTAAACGGATAGCATGTTTCTAACAGCGATTAAGACGTTGCAACACTTTTTTCTGTACTACTCTAGGCGATATTAGCATAATTTAAATAATTGTGTATAAATAAATAATAAAGTTTGATTAAAATTTTCTTATTGAGGTAAATTGGTGCTTTATATAAAACTCCAATGTTTTTTGAAATTTTAGTGCTTATGTAGTCGATATGATGATTCCAAGTGTTACGGAATCCCTTTTTATTTCATTTTAATCAATAAAAATTTTAGGTAAGTTTAATAGCAAATATCGTTTTTTGGAAAGCGAATGGAATAAGGTCCACTTTGTTTTATTAGAATTTAGAGTTAACTTATTACATTTAAACCAACTCGATACATGTATATGCTCTTTGTTCATTGTTTTAAAAAGTTCAAAGATATTACTGTTAAAAAGGAATAAGTTAGTATCATCTGCAAACATATTACTTGTTAGTTTAGAGGCTTTATTTAAATCATTAATATAAATAAGGAAAAGGAGTGGACCAAGAATTGAGCCTTGTGGGACTCCACATATTATAGAAAGACAATTAGTATGATAACCGTCATTATTCGGAACAAATTGATTACGATTTGACATATAGCTTTCAAACCATTTTAAAACTTTATTTTTTATTCCATAGTGTTTCAGTTTATAGATTAGAATTTGGTGATCAACCGTATCAAAAGCTTTTGATAGATGAATAAAAAGTCCTAGAGTATATTGTGAATTTTCAAATGATTTTGAGATTTCACGTGCAAATTGGATAATTGCATGTTCAGTTGAACTATCCTTTTTAAAACCGAATTGATTAATGTAAAGTAATTTATTAACATGAAAATATTTGTATACTCTGTTATATATAATTCTTTCTAAAATATTTGAAAATGTGGAAAGAATAGAAATAGGGCGATAGATATTAATAATTGATTTGTCCCCTTCATTGAAAATAGGAATAATTTTGGCAATTTTTAACAGTTCGGGGAAAACACCTTGATGGATAGAAGCTTTAAAAACTTTAAAAAGAACAATTTTTAGCTGTTCAAAACAATCTATAATAACGTTTCCATTTATTTGATCTGCTCCAATTGCTTTATTTTTTTTAACGATTTGAAGGCTCTTTCAAACTTTTCAAACAATAATTTAGAAGAAAACTGAATCAATGCAATTATCAATGGGTACTAGAAAATCAGTAAATAAAGATTTGGTCTTAGGGATTTTTTAGAAAGTGTTGGACCTATATCGATAAAAAGTTAGTTAAATTCTTGGTTCGTATAAACTTTTGTTATCGACTCTAACCATTTGTGGCAGAAAACCTTAGCATGATTTTTGTTTTCCAATAATTTCATTCATTAATTGCAATGTGCGTTTTGAGTCATTTTTAAATGTATTGAGTAATTGGGAGTAATAATTTTTTTTTAGATTTTTGCGGATTTTTTCAAATAGATTTTTGTAGTCCTTGTAAATTTTTTCGTTTTTAGGTGTTTTTGTTTTCAAAAAATTTATATATAGTTTTTGTTTAATTTTGGATGAGTTTTTAAAGCCCTTAGTGATCCAGGGTGTATTGCAGCTCTTAATAGTTATTTCATTTTCAATGATTGGGAAATTAGCATCGTATACAGAAAAAATGTTTTGAAAAAAGACTCATAGATATTGTTAGCATTATCATTAAAATTTGTTATTTCAGTAATGAAAGTTGATTTTTGAATAAATTAAGGTTAGCCTCATTATAAATGCGTTTTCGAATTACTCTTTGTGCGGGTAAAGTTTTTTCAGAGTTTGTATTATCTAATTTTAGGAATATAGGGAAATGATCTGATATATCGGTTTGCATAATACCTACTTTTAAATCATTGTTGAAAATATCTGAAGTTATTATATTATCTATTAGAGTTGCTAAATTTATCGTTACTCATGTAGGTTTGTTTATTAAAGATATTGAACCCGTTTCAAAAATTTCATCATAAAAATTTTTAACTTTAAGGTTATCATTATAAAGAAAACAATTCATGTTTAAATCTCCAATTATAAAATTTTGCTTTTTTTCAAAGGTACCTTTTTTAATGATTTGTTGTAAAAATATGCTAAAGTTTTCGCTTCCGCAATCAAGTGGCCGATAACAACAGCTTAGTAAAAAAAAATTTTTGTTGCAGTTAGTAATTTCTATAGTTGCAATTTCTTTATCGCAGTCAGAAACGCTTAAATCATGCCTAAAACAATGCTCAAAATTTTCGTGAACATAAATTAATTAAGAACATAAAATTGAACATAAAACTCCATCACAGCGCTTATTTGTTTTCCTTTCCATTTAAATTGTATTAAAATGAGGTAAATGAAAATTATTTAGGTATTCTAAAGAAGTCCAAGTTTCCGTTAAACAAATTATATTAAAAACATGTTTAGTTTTTAATATAATTTGTTTAACGAATTTAGGAATGCCCATAAAATTATTCGTTAAAATTGCATTTAAAAGAAGAACAATTTTGTCATACCTTACCGTAACACTTTCATCATTCAATCGCCTTTCTTTCACTTCAGCAAACAATTTTTTTCGATTAGCGACGGTTTCTCGAGAAAAATCTTCGTTAACGAACGTATTTGTGCCTTTGATTCGATACAATTCCTTCAATATTCTTATTTTGTCTTTATATTTCTGAAGATTTTATATTATAGTCCTTGGTCGTCCATCGTTTTTTCGTCCAGTGCGGTGAGGGCTCTCAATTTCGACAACTTTTTTTTACTGTATTTTACGTAAATTTTTCCCGAATTTAACGTAAAATTTTACGCTAAAAACGTAACCCTAATTTTCATGAGCGAAGTTTGGGAAATCCGACGAGAAAACTTTGGTTAAAAAATCATGCTTATAAACTTATTTTTTATATTTAGTAATAGGGGTAATAAACTGCTTTTGTTAAAAATGATAACTTAATTTTTTTTTTTAACAATAACGCTAGTGAAAAACATTATTTAAACTAAATTTAAGTTTCTTAAAATACTATAAAATAAACCATAAAACCAATGCTAGCGCGATATATGTAATGGCAGTCGACAAATTTTAGAAAACGAGGACCTTTTTTTTTTTTTTAGTCGGCAAAAGTTGTAATGGCACCCCCCCCCCACACGTGACACCTACTCGCGCCGGCCCTGCATGTAACACCCTAAAACTATGTTAAACTCTATTGTTTTTTTCTAACATCAAAGTAAAGCTGTGGGAAGATATTTGTTAAGGTGGATTTTAAAATGCATAAACGCAATAATCACACTTTTCTCGTATTACTTCCTAAAGATTACGGAAAAAAAATACTTAGGCGAAATATCGTCTACCCTAATTATTAAAAACCAACTAAAAGAACCCAAATAAAAAAAAAACTAAAATAAAAAAACTAAAATTTAAACCCAAATAAAATTATATGTACAAAATTCGTATTCTGTTGCAATAATACAATAGATATTTCGAATAAAAAGAAGTTTTTGAAGAAAGGAGGTACATTACAGCATTTAAAAACTATTTTTTTGCCTCCTTTTTTTAAAAAATAACACATCTTTCGTATTATAGTTATAAAATACAAATTTTGAACATATTATTTTATTTAGGTTGCACTATCAAGAACCAAAAAGTAATAACAGAATAATTTTTTGTATTGAACCGCAATTTACAAATAGATTTTCCGACAAAAATTGCAGCAACAGTGTAACTGGAGAAGTAATATGGCTCTCAATAAATGGGTGTGTGATATTGTTTTAACGTCCAATAATAATTGGGATTGTGTAATAGTCTGCTACTTAAAAATTTCATCTTTTCCATATGGCATCAAAAGAAAGTTGAATTAACAAGTTTGCTTTTAATATCGAAACATTGTGAATTTGGGATAGTTGTAAGTTTTAGATAAACAATTTAAATTTTTTTACTTGTTGATGATATTATTGCATTAATAAAATGAAAAAATTTGTTTTGATAACAGAGCTTATAACTCTATATACTTTAATACCATAAATAATTTTAATACCATAAATTGCTCCATTCACTAATAGCTATTTGTGAATCTGTTTTAAAAAATATATCACCAATAGGTGGAAATCTCTAAATTCCTTGCACTGCATCTGTTGCATTATCATATAATATGGTTTGTTAAATGCACAAGAATCTAGTGCTGAACACAAAATGACAAACTGAACATAAAATAAAAAACTCTACTTTTTTTTTTTTTTTAACAAAAAAAGTATTTTTTTTTTTTTTTAAATAAAAAAAGTTGAAAAGTTATTGATATATTATATTTTTTAATAAATCCATGGTTTTTGTTTTGTTTTGTTTTCTTCAAAAAAAAAAAAATTGTTTTTTAAAACCCTTATGTGTTGGAGGCAAGTTATATTTTTCTCTACTAGTAGTAAGCTTTTAGTGAATATATATAATACAAAGTTTATTTAAAGCATATTATTAAATTAAAGTATATTAATATGTATTTTCAGAGTAATTAATAAAGGCTTAAAAACACCTAGAACTAAAGCAGTAACAGTTATGAATCACGTGAACTAATGTTTTTCTTGAGAGGGCAAAATTATAAAGAAACTTGATAATACGCTTTATCTTTTTATTGTTTGTTTAATATCTAAAAGTAGTTTATCTGGAAATATATCATTGAAAATTGTATTTTAACATGCCAATTAAAAAATGTGAAGATTTTTGAATTTATCTGCAAAACAGCTTGTTAGTTTTTTAACTGTTCATGGGCTAAGTACTACTGGACGCAAAGTTAAGCTTTTACTGCAATGAAATTAAATACCGTAGATGGGGGTAACTAAAGCCACTTTCAAAATTCAAACTTCTGCCCAAGTCAGACCCTTTAATTTATAGGTTAAATCAATATTGCAAAACTTGGGTCTGTGGTCATATATTAACGAAATATATTCATAAATTGCAGAAATATACATTTTTTTAATAAAAAAAATGAAAACATGGTGGCTTTAGTTACCCCTGGAAAAGGGGTAACAAAAGCCATCCATTAAAAAGCAATGTTTGGCTTTAGTTAGAGAGTGCTAGGGTAACTAAATCCATAAATCATGCATCTGTAACAATAAAGAACCACTATTGACAAGAAAAAACCTTTATTATTTAAGAAAAACATTAAAATGAGACAAAAATATTATTTAAAATAGGTCTTGTTGAAATCAGTGCTTTACCGGTAGTTCATAAGGAAAAGTATAACGTCCTCTGTTTACTTTAGATGGTTTCACAATTAAAATGACGTCTGTTAACTGAATGTCCATTTTGTCATCAACATTTGGAAATATATAGTCATTTCCTTTTGAATTGGAGCTTCTTCTGAAAAACTTTACTGTAACTTCATTCTTCTCAAAACAAGTTCTAAGAATGACTCCATAGAACTGTTTGGTGGTTTCTTTTTTTGTGTTCTTATCAAAGATGAGCTCAACAATGACATAAATATCAGGTTTAAGTTCTCCTTTAGAGACTCCTATTTTAGGGGGTTCGTCATAAGTTGTTTCTTCTAGTTGTAGATCTACTGGTATCTCCGTTTCATCTGTGTAATCCTTATACTTCCGGCTACCAAGCTTCTTCTTTGGGTTTCGAGGCATTTTTAGTCCTAAAAAAGAGAACAAATTTATTACTTAAGGAATTTTGACTATAATGCACTTCAGGTTTAAAAAAATTGTTTTATTTGCATATTCTGAAGTGTGTGGTTCGCAAAAAATTCACGAAAAAAGAAAGCTTTGGATTGCCTTTTATAATAATGTTATTGTTTCTGCTTGGTGTTTGTGTATGGCTGGAGCTTTTGAAGTTTGCAATCATGTCATTGTTACTCTTTACAAAATGGAATATGCTAATAACAAAAGTTGGTGTAATCCAACATGCACAGAACAAGTGTGTGTCTGAAATAAGTCTTCTAGAAAAGATATAAAATCGTGCTTAATAACTGATCTAGTTGTTCGAAAAAAATTTCAAATAATGAAAAAAATGATAATAATAAGGAAAACACAAGGATGAAAGCAAGAACTCAATCCAAGAATCGAACATGAACATTTATTTAAAACTTTTTTAAACAACATTCATATATCCAAGGCTTCTGCTGTAATATTTAAATCAAAAATTAAAAAATCTGATGAAAATATTGTAAGTAATCCCGATCTTGAAGAACTATTGTTTGAAATACTTTTTGACCACTTTAACCCTGATAAGTCAACATTAGGCAAAATATTTACAGAAAAAATGGTTTTAACACACGAAACAATTAAAAATGTGGAGTATAACACAAAAGATCAAGCTAAAAGCAATACCTGGCTTCAAATAAGAAAAGGGAGGATAACTGCATCCAAACAAAAGTTTTAATACTCTTTCTAGAAAAACAAATTCTAAGAAATACAAGTTTTAAGAAATACAAGTTTTAAGAAATACAAGTTTTAAGAAATACAAGTTATAAGAAAACTAAACTAAAACCTCTTGTTGCTGAGATTTTAAACCCTCATAAAAAAAATTTCTTACTGCTTCTATCAAATGGGGAATAAATCATGAGCAAAATGCTATAAAAAGTTATATATAATAGTATAAAGGAATTAATCATGAGTTATAAATAATAATTATAAAGGAATTAATCATGAGTTATATATAATAAGTATAAAGGAATTAATCATGAGTTATATATAAGTATAAAGGAATTAATCATGAGTTATATATAATAAGTATATAGGAATTAATCATAAGCAAAACGCTATAAATATTTAAAAGATTTGAGTATCTTAATAAAAATTTAAACAAAGTAGTTAATAGTGAAATCGCAAATGTTTCAAACAAAATCATTTATGTTCCAGAAAATTTGGACAAAGCAAAAAAAATTACATCACGAGCTAAAAAAAAAGTGGTCTCTTGATTTTGTATGATAGACCTTGCGTTGCTTGCTCCCTAGATGGATTTATTGTATGCAAATGTCATGGTAGATTGTGTTTAGAAGTTATATGTCCTTTTTAAATTTCAAAGACATATATTGTTTTTGAAACAATCTATATATATATATATATATATATATATATATATATATACATATATATATATATATATATATATATATATATATATATATATATATATATATATATATATATATATATATATATATATATATATATATATAGTGTGTATATATATATATATGTATATATTATATATATATGCACACAGATATATGTTTATATATATATTTACATATATATACATATGTGTTTATACCTATATATATATATATATATATATATATATATATATATATATATATATATATATATATATATATATATATATATATATATATATATGTATGTATAAACACATATGTATATATATGTAAATATATATAAAAACATATATCTTTTTTTTTTTATTTTTTTTTTATTTTAATTCACCTCCTCAAGGCCGAGAAGGCCACTACAGACGAGGAGGCTACTTATTTGTGGCTATAACCCTTTCTCAACTCTATAACTCCGACACATATATATAACACAAACCTTGACGAACAAGGCCGCTGCGCGTAGAAACGAGTTGAGCGCGGTACTACCAGGGACGTGGTGGGGATCGAACTCCGAACCACTCGTTTATGAAGCGAGTGCTCTACCACTACACCACTACCGCATATCTGTGTGTATATATATATATAATATAATATATATATATAATATACCGCATATCTGTGTGTATATATATATATAATATAATATATATATATAATATACCGCATATCTGTGTGTATATATATATATAATATAATGTATATATATAATATATATATGGGTGTGTATATATATATACATATATATATATATATATATATATATATATATATATATATATATATATATATATATATATATATATATATATATATATATATATATATATATATATATATATATATATATATATATATATATATATATATATATGTATACATATACGTTAACACACACACACATACATATATATACATATGTGATATATATATTTGTATAAATATATATATGTTGTATATATAAATTGTGTCTTACATATAAATATCCACACACACACACACACACACACACACACACACACACACACACACACACACACACACACACACACATACACACACATATATATATATATATATATTTATATATATATATAAATATATATATATATATATATATATATATATATATATACACACACACATATACATATATATATATATATATATATATATATATATATATATATATATATATATATATATATATATATATATATATATATATATATATATAATCTTTTTAAAAAACATTTTAAAAATTGGTAAGCACGAATAAAAATAAAAATAAAAAGATTAATATTAAAACGTATTCTACTTGATTTAATACAAAAGTACAGTTATTAAAATTTTTGTAAAAAGTAACTCAAAAAAATAACTTAAACAGGTCTTAAACTCCCAACACATGTTGTGTTCATATTAAATATAATGTTAAAAAAAAAAGGTGTGAACCAAATTTTTTTGATTAAAAATAATGAATGCATACCGTGAAAAACAAATGTTGTTATTTTTGCCGAAGCTCGTCTTCTCCATTTTTTCAACCACTCAGTCTTCAAATTATGCGTCACAATCTACAGACTTTGGCAATTCCTTTGAAGCGCGTTTAATTCATAAGAGTTTCAGTATTTGACGTCACGGTAGATTTTTAACAAATTTTTAATTTCTTTTTCGTTATGATTTTATTTATGAATTTGCTTTTCGTTTCTTTTTTTGTTAGGATTTTTATTTTCGTTAGTTTTTTTTCAAAACATATAAACATTGTTTATTAAACAATCGTGGTCAAGTTGTCAAAAAATAAAATCATTTGCATGGTCAGCAATAGCGCTCGATCGCATGGCATTCCTGTCCAAGCCTGAGATATATATGTATATATATATATATATATATATATATATATATATATATATATATATATATATATATATATATATATATATATATATATACATATATATATATATATATATATATATATATATATATATATATATATATATATATATATATATATATATACTTAAGAAACTTTTTATTTATTATCTAATGATGCTGACCGCAAAAGTCTGCAAAATACTCGTAATATGTTATTAAATTCAAATATATTTCAAAAATAGTTTATACACTGCCTTTTTTTATTGAATTTAACTTATTTATAAAAATGTTGTTTAACAAAAACTTGACTTTTAAAGATTAATATACGTATATGTATATTGAATGTATCCTGGTATCATATTAAATCATGTATTTTTTTGTAGAAACATCAAAATGAATCAGCTTTTTACTAATCTCGAAAAAAATGAAATCACAGCCTTCAGCCATGAGTTTAAATTAGAATTAAGTGAATGTGTTGGAGTAGATTGGAGAACTCTTGGGCGTTGGTTAAATATTGAAGAAAACTATTTAGACAAGATTGATCAAGATAATGTTAAAACTAATGTGAAAATGTATTCAATGTTAACTAAATGGGAGCAGATTAGTGAAAATCCAACACTTCTGGAGTTAAAATCAGCTTTAAGGAAAATGGAGCGAATGGATCTAATAGGGAAAATTGATGAGTTAACAAGTAATTATTTTTTTATGGTATTAAATATAATGAAAGTTAAGATTTTTAGATAAAATAGAGTAAATTTTTCTAATCATAGTTTTTGTTCATTTCTTTCTTTATCTCTATATAAATGGTATCAATTGAAAACTTCTTTCTTTATCTTGATATCCATGGCAACTTAAATAAATTTAAAAAAATAAAATTTAATTTAATTTTTAAGTATTTTTATTATCCGAATCAAAATATGAGTTAATTATTACCAGTATTTGGTAACAGAAATTAAATTGAAATACATCTAGTTGTAAGGTTTGACCATTAAATTTTAGTTATTTTATTATTACTAAGTTTACAATATTTTATATATTGGCTAATATTTCGTTGGTAAGCAAAATAAATTTTTTTATTTCTTATTAAAAGAATTCTGAAAAAGATTGCCATTAGATTTGATATTAAAATGGTTGACAAAAAAATTTGAATACTTTATATAATGTTTTTCAATAGCTAAACTTTTTATTTAGGAAGAAAATTTAAAAGTTCAAACCTTAGGTATGCTTTAATGTTTGGGTTAGTTTAACCGGACACTAAGTAAGAAAATTATAACAGTAAAACAGGTGATTTAATTAAAGACCAGCATGTATTAAATGACCAAAGCTGGTATTTGACCTGGGCTAAAGCCGTTTATGGCTGGAGCTGTATAAATAATGATGCATATTGATATGATATATAAAAATAAGTCAATATGCACCAATATTTATGCATTCATGTCCATTAATCTACTTTTTTTGGAAGTCCTTTTTATTATTTGTTAGTCCACCTGTCTTACGAAGAACTCCTTTAACTATTGCCCAAAAATCTTCAATCTTGCGGACGATTTGGAGGATTCGCATCTTTAGAAACAATTTTCACATTATTATCTTTGCACCACTGTAAAACTTTTTTAGAATAGTGAGAGGCAGCAAGATCGGGTCAAAAGAGACATCGGTATTTGTGTTTTTTTATAAAAGGCAAAACTCTTTGTTGGAGGCTTTCTTTGATGTAGAGATTGGCAGTCAAGGTCTTTTTAGTGACAAAACAAGAGGACTGCATACCACAGCTACAAATTGCTTGCCACACAAGGAACTTGGATGCAAATTTTTCTCGTCGAATATATTTAAATTGATCATCGACAGGTTTATCTTTGTTTTCATAGTAAAACTGTTGATCCACCTTGCAATACATTTTGTCGTCTTCAATTGTGCACATATTTTTATCCGCCTTTATTTTAACCAACTTCTTTGCACGTCGAATTCCTTTAATTTCACAATTTAAGCTTCTCTTAGGTGTATTTTTTTTATGAAATGCTTTAATTTCAGCATTTAAAGTATTTTTTTGATATAAGAACTAGAAGTCTTAAATTTTCTTTCTAGATCTCGCTGTAACTGATTTGGATTTCTTGCTATTGAACGTAAAATCGACTTTACCTTTTTGGATTTATGGAAAGTTTTTTTTCTTCCACTTCCAAGTTATCTTTCGAAGCTTTGAGTAGTCTTGAACTTGTTTATAATATCTATGACTGTAGATTTTGGGACATTTGTGCGTTTAGCAATCAAGCGATAGAAAGTCGATAAATTTTTCCAAAAAAAATTCACAACTTTTTTACGCACCTCCACTTGTTTCCAAAACATTTTACAAATCATTAATTTGTAAACTAAAATTTATCAACACCATTTAAGATAAAGAAGTAGGGTTTAATTAAAAAAAAAAAATTAAATAAAAAGCATTTGTGGTTTTGGAGAAATCTCAATTTAAAGATGACTGGGTTTTTTCGCGTCCACCCGATAACACATTTGAAACAATTCTTCTTAGTAAGATGAACAAATGAATAAAAAAATCGTTGAGTTACTCTAGAAATTCAAATAGCTAGATAGAAAATAACTAAAAATGTTAAATTACTTTGTGAGGAGGGAGCGGAATTGCTTCACAATAACGCTGATGATGTTTAGTGAGTGGGCTTTATAATTTTAATTAGTATTTAAAATAGAAAAAAGTAACTTTAAGTATTACGAGTTTGTAAGAATGGCTGAAGCAAAAATAATTGAAGTTAGTAAACCAATTTCTAAGAACTTAAAGACTTTTCTTTCTTGGGGGAAAGAATCAGTTATCGGGTACATTGAGGAAAATGGATTAGTGGTCAAAATTATTTGTATTAACTTTGATTATTATTAATAATTTCATTGAAAACACAGTTTATATTGAAAGTATTTTAGTTTACAAAATCAATCGCAAAAATTCCTTTAAAAGATTACATTTGAATAAAATACACATACATAAAACTACATAGATAAAAATACATTATATACATAAAAATACATTACAGACATAAAAAATACATCCCTTATATATATAAAAAAAGAATATACTAATAAAATCTATAATATATTTACAAAACGTTGACAAGTTAAAAAATATAAGTTTTAAATATTTATTATTGTAAACAATGTTAGTTTAAAACATTTATAGCTTTGTAGATGTGGCTCTAAGAATTAGAATAATAGTTCATTTGATAGTATATTCTTAAAATAATTTATGCTAGAAATCTCACGAAAACGTAACAAAACTCAAATAAAACAATTTTTAAAAATATTTTAACAGAATACTCAGGACATTCGGTTAGTATTTTTTAAATACTCTAGAAATTTCGGTTAGTATTTTTGGAACCATTAGAATTAGTTTTTTTTTTTTTTTTTTTTTTTAACATCTTCACTTCCAACAAGGCTGCAAGCAACCACTATAAGAGTTGGAAGTTACTGGAAGAGAAAAGACTAAATCTGTAGAGCAAGATAACGATTGACTGATGACTTAAAAGATTGCAAATTATATGAATCAGGAAAGCAAGATGAAGGAAGCGAATTCCAAAGAACTGATGTTCGAGGAAAAAAACTAGAAGAATAAGAGTTTTTGAAGCACTTAGGAACAGTCACAGAAAAAGGATGAGACTTAATTGAATGGCGAGTAACACGAGAATGAATTTTAGTAGATGGCACAAGGGACGCTAGCTCTTTAGAGCAGTGCCCATTATAGTATTTGTAGAAAAGAGAAAGAGAAGCAACATTACGACGATGTGACAAAGGTTGGAGATTGGCTGCCAGAGCAGGTCCAACTATGTTTACAATTCGTTTTTGCACCTTGTCTAAAAGAGAAAGAGCATCATTAGAAGATCCGCCCCAGATGTGGCAACAGTATTCCATACAGGAACAGATTTGAGATTTATAGAGATAGAGAATAGAATCTGGAGTAAGAAAGTGTCGAGCTCGATAAAGAGATGCAACTTTAGCAGATGCTAATTTTGCAATGGATTTGATATACGGTTTAAAAGAAAGATCAGAAGTAAGAGTTATTCCTAGAAGATGAATGGTAGATGACTCATCTAGTACATTACCATTTATAAATATGTTATTCATAGATCTAGTACATTACCATTCATAAATATGTTGTTCATAGATTTGGCGGGTTTTTTGTGTTTGCGAATATTCTTTTTTTATTTTTCCGCACTAAGATGTTTGAGAACATGCAAGTTTATGTATGTTTACATTTAAGTCCGTAAAACAGATTATTTTAAAATTTACGGTATAATGAACTTATTATTTTGCAGACAAACAAGGAAACATATATAAACTTAAATGTTCTCAAATTGACTAAAAAATCTGGTCGGTTTTTTGCAACTAATTATTATTTCCGTGGTCAGTTATTGAGTGCAATCGTACCTGCTTTCTGACCAAGCCTGCTAAAGCTGTCATATAAGCATTTGAGTTGGCACATTAAACAAGTATTAAACTATAGTTAGCAAATAGCCAATATTGAGCACCTTTTTTTTTTTTTTTTCACGCAGAAGAAATATGAAATATGTTACTATTGGATTAAATCATAAAATGCACGTTTTGATCGGATTAAAATAAGAAACGCCTATTTTATATTTTTATAAATCCTTTTATTAAAACATTAACTTGAAAAAAAATATACTAAAAATGAATTTCTTCTCCGCTGACATATTCATAACTATAATTTACAATTCGATTAAACTCTATAAGCTTTAAACTTACTTATTTAAAATAATAGTAAAGTTGCAGTAAAAATGTAAATAAACGATTTTAAATTATAAAATAAATAAATAAAACTTTTTTAAAACATAATAAAATAATCACGCCAAAAAACTTGATTTAATAAGTATGAAAAGAAGAAAAAAAAAGTTATTGACTTATGAATGAATTAATGACCTTGCTATGTTATAACGTTTTATATTTTTATAAACTGTAATTACTAAAAAATTTTCGCAAATGTGTGTACGTTTTACTTAAGTATTAAAGTACGTTTAACTTACATAAAATAGGTCGCTCAAAGACATCATGTAGAAGCCACAACAAAAATTTGTCCACATACAGATTACATTGTAAAAATAACAATGCAAATTCTGGACAAAAGTCATTTTTTGAAACATTTCCTGTTAACCAAATTACAAAACAAAACACAGATTAACTTCAAGAAGAAGTAGATCATCAGTTAATTCCTGAAATAAGAACAAACGAAAGCAAAATTTTTATTGTGTGTGTTTCAAACAAAAGCGTTGTTCCTAATATCCACGAACATTTACTAGATGGATCTATATATATGTGTGTCACCAATATCAGCAAAAATAGGAAACAAAATATCTGTTTGCTATTTATACTGCAAAAGATCAAGGTTTGTTATGTAGTATTTGTAAAGAATATTGGGATATTGGAGAAGTGTGGAGAACTAAAGGCGCAAAGCTTTTTGAACATCCACAAAGGACATTTACTGCACATCAAAAGTCAAAGAGACACTAGGATGCTGCCAAAAAACGTCAATAGGTCAAAAAAATACTTTCAACCAAAGGAACTGTATACAATCAGATGGTTGATGGCCACGCTATATAGAATTGCAGGTAAACAGCGCACTCATAACATCATCAAAAAGTTTTTTAAAACTGTTTACTTTGTAATTAAAAAAAGTTGGGCAGTCCAGGAAAACTTTAATGATATATATATATATATATATATATATATATATATATATATATATATATATATATATATATATATATATATATATATATATATATATATATATATATATATATATATGAGAAAAGCATGTTTTAAAACTTCCAGATCAATATTAAATAAGATTTTTAAGAAAAGACTATTTAAATTGTGTTTTTGAACAAGTTTCTGAGGTCTTGTTATATGTACATATTTTTAAATAGTTTATATGATTATTGTTGTTTTTATCTTCTTTTTTTATGAATAATTAAATAACTATAAATTTCTTATGTTTAGTGTTAAAAAACAAATTGAATTCTGATGAATTAATTTCGAAATGTTGTGGCGAAATAAGCTATAAAATTGGAAGTGATTGGTCTCGATGGGGAAGGCACCTAGGTTTAGGTGATGCAGACCTTGACAACATTAACTCTGATCATACAAAATGTTTTGATAAAGCTGAAAATGTTTTAAAAAAATGGAAACAAATAAATGGATATCTTTCATGGGATCAGTTAAAAAAAGAGTTAATAGCATTTAACCGTTATGATATAATAGTTGAAATTGAAGAGAAATTCAAAGGTAAAAGTAACAAAAAAATTTGTTATAATTTTTTTATAAATTTTTATGTTAAAAAAGCAAGACATAAAAGTTATAATTTTTTTAATTTTAGATCACCTACCTAGTCTAAATAAATTAAGGTAATTAAATATCTTTGTACATTATTTATTATACATTCTATAATATTATTTATTGCATTTCAAATTATATTTATTTGTCATATTTGCACACAGCCAAATAACAATAAGTTTTTTTTATTCTTGTGATGATTTTTTTGCCTTTAAGAAGTTGCTATACTCAGAACAGCAATGGCAGCATAGCAATAATTTCTAAAATCATGGTTTCTTTTTTGTCTTGTAAGAGTCACACCACACATTCTTCTGTTCATCATCTTTTCAGCTAATACTGCACCACATAAATAGGGTAGAGTTGTCAAAATTATAGCAGTGTCTTTACAGAAACACTTCTATTTGTTTTTAAATTAAAATGACATGCGTCTATACTTTGTATTTTTTTTGTAAAATTTCTGATTTTGTACAATTTAAGATATTTTTAAAGTTTTACAAAAAATTTCTTAATTTTTATTGTGTATCAGGTAACATCTTTAAGATTATCGAATCCTTCCTAACCAATCTTAGTATAAAAGTTGTCCTTGATGAACAGTACTCTATTTCATATCCTGCAACTTTAGGTGTTCCTTAAGGTTCTATCGTTGTTCCTACACTCTTTATAACTTAAATTAACGATCTTCCAGATACTCTCACATCTAAGGTTCACTTATGATACTACCATTTATTTTTTTCTTGATAAGAATCCTTCACTCTAATTGCTTGGAGGGGGCATTTGAGCTTGAAAAGGCTCTCATTTCTGCTACTGCATGAGATTCTCAGTGGCAGGTTAAGTTGGCTGGTGAGTTTTAACTCAAATAAAACTTTTTTTTCAACTAATCATTTCTCCATAATCTAGATTTTTCTTTATTTTTGAACTTGATGAGTCATCTTCTATGATTAACTTCTGCTTCCATTCTATTTATGTAATCGCATATCAAATCGATTGCAAAATTAGTATCTGCTAGATTTGCATCTCTTTATTGTGCTCACAACTTTCTTTTTCCTGATTCTACTGATGCCATATCTGGGGCGGATCCTCCAATAATACTATCTATTAGGCATTGTGCAATAACGCATTATAAACATAGTTGGACTTGCTCTTGCAGTCAATCTCCAACAGTTGTCATAATGTCATATAATTGCTTCTTGTTTTCTTTTTAATAAATACTAAAATGGTCACTGTTCTAGCTAGCGTTTCTTGTATTATTTGTCATTTAATTAAGTATCATCTTTTTATTGTGACTGTTCCTAAGTGCTCCAAAAACTCTTATTTGTCTAGTTTTTTTCCTTGAACATCACTATTTAGTATTCTCTCCATTTATCTTGTTTTCCTGATATATAGTTTGCAATGTTTAATATTGTCTTTCAATTGTCATCTTGCTCTATAAACATCTTTTTTTTTCCAGTAACTTCCTACTTAAATAGTGGCTGTGTGCAGCCTTGTTGGAAGTGAAGACATCAAAAAAAAAAAAGTCATCTTCTGGTATGCTGGTAGAGCAAGTGACATAAAAGTGTAATCATTGGTTGATTTAACTATTAACAAATTTTTTGAAATTGATGCATTGCAATTAGATGCTAATAGATCTTTAAATGTTAAACCATTGTTTTACTCAAAGGATGCTACTGGTAATATTATTGATTTGCTGATTAGGAATTAATCAATGGATTAGATTTCTGTTTTTAGTTCTGTTTTAAATAAAGCTTTATAAGATGATTGTTTAATGATTAGATAAGAAAGAGGATTTCTTTTAGAATTGAATAAAGTAACAAATTTTTGACCATTTTTTTGTGTCATAGTTAGTTAGCCAAGTGTGTAACAACGCTTCAACATCTTGATTAGATAACTCAACAGATATTTGACTTGCTAGATGCCTATGCCTACCATTTACAAATTGGCGAATTTAATTCTTGTACTGAAATTGATTTAATTAGTAGAAGAAACATCATCCAAAATGTTTAATAGCTTCACTGATACTTGCACAATTCAAAATTGAAAAATGTTTTATTAATATGTTGTCTTGTTAGTGTAAGAGCCATTTGTAATTTCTCTCTTGGGTTGGCTGTAAGTTGACAAATCAATGTAGCTATGTTGATTGAAGTTGCTATATTCAATTGGGCAAATAATAATTCCTTTTCTTTATAGATTTTTAAGAAAAAAAGTCTAGTGCAATTGAAGTCGATATAAAGTTGGTATTTCAGCTTGGAACTTTACAGAATTTTATCTTGTCTTTATAGAATTTTATCTTTTCTTTACAGAATCTTATTTACTCTGCTGCCAGAAAGAATATGACTTGATTATTTCACCATTTTTTAAAAGCATTTCAGGGATTCAATCTAACCATCTACTTTCTTTAGAGAAATGACCTCACAATCTTGAGATTTTAACATTATAATAAAACAGTTCAGGAATTTGATTATTTCACTTACTTTCTTTATGAAAATGAACTAGCAGCGTAAGGATTTTAACATCCGTGGTTATCAAATCTCTAAGAAAATTCATCAAATTTCGGTTTCATTATTTCCCTGCAACATAACCATATATATCCATATTATATGTCAGTAATTAGTAAATATGCCAGTATTTATAATATTAAAATACTTAATATGTTATAATATATAATGTATTTAATTTTTACTAGCCCTGGCTACCATAAAAATTTAATAAAAGCAGTAATATTAACTATATGTAACAAATTCACCAAAAAATAACAGGCTGCAGATAGATAAAAGCAGTTGATTGAATTAATAACTAAAAATGAATAAAAATACTAATAAAAAAATAATTAAAATGACTGTGTTTTTAGGAAGAAGAAGAAGAAGAAGAAAAACAAAAAGCAACACAAAAGGTGGGTGAAGTGGTGTTATAAACACCATGAATGAATAGTTAGATTTAAACCTGATTTCGTTACATATTGGTAAACTAGTTTGTATGTATATGTTAAAGCCAAACATTTAACTATTAGACAACCTTGTAACTATTAGACAACCTTGTAACTATTAGACAACCTTGTAACAATTAGACAACCTTGTAAATATTAGACAGTCTTGTAACTATTAGACAATCTTGTAACTATTAAACAACCTTGTAACTATTAGACAACTTTGTAACTATTAGACAACCTTGTAACTATTAGACAATCTTGAAATTATTAGATTCAAGTCATAGGGTAATAGTCATCAATACATAAATTCAAAGATTAAAATAAAACTTTCAATAGTTTTAAAACAGATTGTGGTTCTGGTGAAATGTTAAAACAAGTAAGTTAGAAAATTTTACAGTTTTTTAAAATAATTTTATATTCAAATTTTTTATAAAATTCAATCATTATTTTTGAAAATTTTTAATGAATATAATTTTTATTTTCAAAACTTTTTTATAAATTATGATTGTTTTGTTTTGAAATTTTATCACCATTAAAAATTGCACCTTTGCATTGAAAGTTTTGCATGCATTGAAATAGGAAAATTTTGAAATGTAGTTTGTAACTTTTGTAAGCTGTAATCAAAATGTATTGCTCTTGTAAAAGTTAACTGGATAAGTTTTTACAAAGGTTCCAACTATCATATAGTAAACACAACAAAAATCATGACCTACGTAATGTAACGCTTTTTGAATACCTAAATACTTAGTATAAATACCAAAGTTTTAGACAATCTCTTCTACTTATCTCAACATTTATTAATTCAACTCGAAAATATTAATTATTTTGTTAAAACGCACAACAAAAAAAAACAATAAACTAACTCTAAAAATTATTTACAAATTTTTTTAACTTCTATTTTTATATGCAATGCTTTATTTGCTTATGACATTATAAAACAATATAATTGGATAAGTTTTGTTTAAAGTGGAATGTGATTGGTTAACTTTAATTTATGATAATTACGAGGGTTTAATAGAAAGTTATGTTACTACTAAAACTGTTCCTTGAAAAATGATGTCTTTTTAACTTTGTTCTTCCTCAAGTTTATTATGCCTCCTTGGTATATCTATACAAAAAAAGCTATACAGAAAAGGCAATTGTTATAAGCACGTGTATGTCATCTTAAGGTTTGTGGTTGCTTAAGAGAATTTTATTTTGGTGATTATGTTTGAAAATCAAATTTTTTGTAGAATACAATTTACAACTATTTTGTAGAATACATTTAAAAATTGTTTAAAAATATATTAGGCTCCTAATTAACATTTATTGAGCACTCTTAATTGTATTTTAACTTTCTGTGTAAATATGGAAATTAACAATTTCAATTACTCGTTGAAAAATATACCTATACCAGAAAGTTACACTGTTTCTTTGATTGAAAAAGTGGAGCATTTTATTTAAAAAAATCGTTAAAAAACCCATTTTTTCTTAAAACCAAATACAAACACCGATGATGTATTTTATAATTACGAAAATAATGATAATTATGGATTTAAAACAAAAAAATGTCCCACCTTTTATACCTGATTTAAGAAATTAGAGAAATGACCTATTGCATTTAATTAAATCAATAAAGTGTTGCCCTATAAAAAGCAAACTTCAAACAGAATTAAAGTAAGATGTTAAAAAATTTAATCAAAGCCTGTTATTTTGGCTTTTGCTGATAAAACAAATAACATTTACCAACTTACAACAGAAAACTATAAAAAAAACTTTACGCTCCAATCGACTACTACTTCTTATGAGGAAGCCCCTAAAAATTTGGAAATTCAACTCCCCAAGGCTAAAAAAGCCACTACAGTCAGGGAGGCTACTTTTGTGGTTACAACCCTCTCTTTTAACTCTATTACTTTGAAACACGAATCTCAACGAAGCCGCTAGTTGTCCAATGAGTGGAAGTTGTTTATCAAAAAAAACGTGGTATATAAAATTGTTGTTTCCTCTAGGAATGTACCTGATATATTGGCATAACAGAGGGTGAATGGAAAAAGCGTTTCGCCAATCAAAAGCAATCTTTTAAAAATAAAAAGTATTCAAAAGACTCCATGCTGTCAAAGTATATATGGGAGTTAAAAGATAAAAATGTTGATGTCTTTATGCTGAATTGGTCTATCCTTAAAAAAATGTCTGCATATAACAATATTTCCAAAAAATGCATACTATGCCTACAAGAAAAATTTGAAGTAATTACACATGTAAACCAATAATGTTTTTTTAACAAAAAATCAGAATTAATTTTTAAATGCAGGTATGAAAATAAGTTACTCCTAAAAAAACTATAAAAATAAATGAGCTTAAATAATAGTAACATATAAATAACATGAGTTTAAGTAACATTAAATCCCCCGTTTAAATCATTTCTAGAGAATTCTTTTTATAATAGTGTCAGCAAATTACACAAATGTGTGAAAATTTACAGTTGTTAAGACGCTTGCTAATTCCTGTAATTTACTTTTTGATATAAATTAAAGTTTTAATAATTTAATCATTCATATCTGATGAGTCTTTATTGATAAAAAACAGTGTTGAATGAAAAAAAAATTTGTCAAGTGATTTTTTACTAATTTATAATTGCTCTGTTTATTTAAAAACATTGAGCACTCAATTTTGCAGAATACATTTTAAAACTGTTTAAATAGCAAAATATCTTTTATATATATATATATATATATATATATATATATATATATATATATATATATATATATATATATATATATATATATATATATATATATATATATATATATATATATATATATATTGCTATATATTATATAGCAAAATATCTTTTTAAAAATAATTATTTTATAAAAAGTTTGTTGTGTAAATTTGCTGTAGCTTTTATGCATATATGTGACTTCTTTCAAAAATCTTCAAAAATAACTGTAAAGTTACCATAATGCGCAATAATCGGAAAAAATGATGTTTACATATATTTCCAATAAATAGAATTACGATGCATTTTTATTTAGTTATTCTAATCAAGAAGAAACTCTGGAAAGAATACAAAATATTTTTTTTGAGATTTAAAACTTGCTCAATAGCCAAAAATGGGCTAAAATGGGCCAAAACTGGTTAAAAGTTTAAAGTATGATTTTGATTTTTCCTCTAAAAATTTTTCTCTAAATGTGCCTCAAAAGTCATACTTTAAACTACTCTAAAATATCTTATACTGCTGAGTTAGGTGAGCATGATGACATCATATTGAAATAGCCTGCTGCTGGGGGCTTCAGTACATACATTGGCTGACAAATAGCCTGACTCGCAGTGAAGTGCTGCTACATCGACTGAGAGTTTGGTATGGGTCAGCAACCTATTCATTTATTATTCTTCGTTTTCCCTCATCCTTTTCTCAAAACACTCACTTAATTTAGACTAGCGAAAAAAGTGAGCAATTGCGCATACAAATATGCTAGTAGATATTACATATATTCTTCCATGAACAAAAAATATAACTTACATTTGAACATATTAAAACATTTATTTTTGGCCAATTAAGACATGAACCTTAGTTACTTAATTGCATATTTTAGTGTAGACTTAACTAAACGTAAAAATATTCTAGTCTTCATGACACTTCATGATAGTTGCACAAACAATTCATGTTGGAAGGTTTTTGGCCGTAAATTAACTCCTGTACGCCCAGTAATAGAACATCTGAATACCTCGTTAAAATCATTCAATCAACACTAAACAAAAATAAAATAGAATTATTAATTCAAATTGTTTTATTAATGAAGCCAGGCAATGGAAAGTAGAACCCCATGAAGTTCAGGTTTTATTTGATATAGGTAATTTATATAGGTTTACCTTTAATCGTTGCTATAGCAAAAACATTTCCACAAAAGATAGAATGAAAAACCCCTAATATAGCTACTATTCATACATGTAAACAAAAAACCTTCATGAGATATGTAGACCATTGTCAGGCTCCCTTTAACTCAATAAAAGAAAAGCAAATGTTTCTAAATATTTAAAACCAACAGAATCCTGCCATAAAATACACTGTTGAACTTAAAAACCACCAAAAACAACCTAATTTTCTAGATAATAATATTGCAAACACAACTCATTGAGCATTAAAAAACAACAACAAGTAATACTAAACTTAAAACAAACTCAAATATCATTTTTAATATTATCACAGGCGTATTCTAAGAGTATTTATGCTATGCAAATAGAATACGCTCTCAAAAAAACTTCCAGCAAGAAATTATACCAGTTATCAACCAACTGAAAACCAACCATTTATAAAGCTACCATGTATACCAACTGTTGGTTCCAAATTTAGAAAAAAATGTAAAAAACAAAGCATAAAAGTTATATTCCAAATTTAACTTGATATTCTGCAACAATAAAACAAAACATCCTCCAAATACAAACCTACGGCTAACAAATAAAATGTTCATGCAACTCTATATACATTGGTGAAACCAATAAAATAATTATATTAAGATGATGAGCACCAGAAAACAGTATGAAAGGAAAATGGTACATTTCGGGAACTATTGAACATTTCAAATCATGCCAAGGTACATTTTACTAGTTACATTTCCTAACCATTTTAATTGCTCCATAATATCATATTCGAAAAAGTCAAGAATCAATGGAAATAAACAAAGTTCAACAAAAAATGGGAAGTGGCGAAAATATTCTTAATAGGGATGATGGTAATATTATGACAACAAAAGGTTTTTTTATTAGCCATTTTTTATTAGATCTGACATCAACATTTAAATCCTATTTTGTCTTTTCATTTTAATGTCATCTTTTTAATGGTTTATTTTTATTATAATAATTTTCTTTCTGACAGTGTTTATTTATTATTCCTGATGACATTGATCACAATAGATCAGCAAAGTATCTAACAATATATATTCAAAAAAGGTTCATACGTAGCTGTATTGACTAAATAACAAAAAAATGGCTTTCAAAGATTATGTGTGTATATATATATATATATATATATATATATATATATATATATATATATATATATATATATATATATATATATATATATATATATATATATATATATATATATATATATATATATATATATATATATAATTTAAAAGACGAAAAAATCAATTTTTCTCAAGTTAGAAAAATACCTTATTTAAAAAAAAAAAAAAAATTTTGACATCATCAAGAAGAAAATTTAACTGAGAACTTATTTTGTTTTTATTATTACTGCAAATGTTAATTAAGTTATAACGGTATATGTTTATTAGAATATAAGGTATAACGGTATATGTTGAAACACAAATCTTTAATAAAATCTCTGTTTAAAAACATTCACAGTTTCTACTTACCCCCTCCCAAAAAAAAAGTGTTTGAATAACATTGATATATATATATATATATATATATATATATATATATATATATATATATATATATATTTATATATATATATATATATATATATATATATATATATATATATATATATATATATATATATATGTATATATATATATATATATATATATATACACATATATATATATACACATATATATATATATATATATATATATATATATATATATATATATATATATATATATATATATATATATATATATATATATATATATATATAAACCTATAGTAAAGAGCTTAGATATACAGATTGTGGTAAAAAAAAACAGCTCTTCACATGTCTAAGATATTTAGACTGACAAAATTAATGTTAGATTATAAAAAATCACATTATTCTAACTGAGGAAACTAATAAAGTTTAATGTTTTTATAAAAAACCACAAAAAGTCAAATTAAAAGACCACAATCTTTTTAAAAACATTTTGAATTTTTTTATATTATTTTTTTTAAAATAAAAACATGCACGGAATGTTACTATATCGACTATGTTATAGCCTGACTTGCAACGAAGTGCTGCTACATCAACTGACAAATAGCCTGACTTGTTATTTATATTTATATATACATATTTAAATTTTTTTATACTTATTAAGTAATGCGTCAGGATTTTTTAATATAATTTACTTTAGAAACGAAACTTTAAATTTGGATATGTCTGAGCAATTGAGAATTGAATTAAAAAATGGTAAGATTTTTTTTTTTATTTGTTTTAACTTTCGGAAAAATTAAAAAAAAAAGTTTATTTTATGTTATTAAAAATAATTTAATGGAAAAAAGTTAAATTTTTTTCAATTCTATAAATTTTTAGTAACTTTTATTTATAAATTAACATTTATGATTTTCATTTTTTTTTCATATTTATTTCAATAATAATGTCTGTAATTCAAAAAAAATAAAAAATATTTTTGTTCAACTATGTCATTAGTAAGTGTCTATTTTTTTTTGCTTAATGTTTTTTTCAATATTTTATTCAGTATACTGCTCTAATGCCCTATATTTCTAGTAAAATGCTCTAAATTTATTTATTATAAAGTCCTAATGCCCTATAAAAGGTCAACATGTTAAAAATGGTAGAATGGTATTTTAGATATTTTTTTAGCAATATATTCACTGTATACCAAAGAGACCATTTGTTTAAAGTAGGAACACTCAAATAAAACCTTTAGGTTAAGTTTAGGTTAAATAAAACCTTTAGGTTAAATAATAATCTTTAGGTTAAGTAATAACCTTTAGGTTAGAAAAAAAAGTTTTTAAAATCTGGTATTATATAAATAACGTGGTAACACTCAAATAAAACCTGTAGGTTAGAAAAATAAGTTTTTAAAATCTGTATAATGAGCTAAAAAGTGTTGAAAACAGAACTAAAGGATGTCTGAAAAAGGGTTTTGCAGCCATTAAACTTATTTAAGAACTTGGAATTATGGCTTTATTGAATTTATGTTCCATACATATCTTTTAAACCTTATCTAACTTGGTTTAAAATTTCGATAATTACTTTCCCTAAATTGTCCGACATTGTCCGATGGTGTTCGACATACATCTCAGGCCTTGCGATAAAGCGTCGGGCGATGTGAATTTTACGTCGTCCAAGGGCGATTTTGCGTGTAGCTAGGGCTATTTGCGTCAAGCAAAAAATTTTTTGTTTGAGTATATTTAAAGATATTTTTGAGCGGAATTTTAATGAAGTAATTGACGATTATTTTAACATTTAATCAAGTATTTTAAAAACCGCATGCAGTTGAAATAAAAGTTTGAATTTAAAAAAATTAAATATGCTCATTATTTTCAAGTAGAAAAAATTCAAAAATTAAAAAAAAAAGTTTAAATCTTTTAAGCTAACATTTTAATAAAATTATTCAGCAATAGCAACGTTGTCGATAAAATTGAACAAAAATACTTTCTTTTAGTTTTAGATTTTAAACTTAAATAATTATTTTACAGGGGTTTGATAGGTTTTAAAATTATTCCATAGATTTAAAAATATTTATTAACTGTTAGACGTATTTAAAGTATTTAAGAGTGATTTCGAGGAAACATTTTAAAAATTGGTGAGGGCAAATAAAAAAAAAAAGAATAATATTAAAACGTATTCTACTTGATTCAATGAAAAAGTACAGTTATTAAAATTTTTGTAAAAAGAACTCAAAAAAATTACTTAAATAATAACGATCGCATTTATGTTAAAAGTTACCGAAACTCATCAAAGCGTGCTCAAGAACAGCTGCTGAAAAATAGAACGTCAATAGTTTTTCGAATAATTTTTAAGAATAATTTTTAAGAATAATTTTTTCGCTAAAATATTTCTTTTATACCTATAAGATTTTTATTCTAACATTTTATTTTATTTTACTAGAAATAAAATTCCTTGTTAACATTAAAAATCTATTCAAAACGTTCGTTTAAGTTTTTTATTAATACGAGTGATTGTGCTTATCAACCGCTTTATGAAAATAAATAAAAATAAATAAATAAATATTATATAAAATCGCTTGTAAAAATATTAGCTATTGCACAGTTTTTAATCGTACAATATTAAAATTTCCAGTTTATTACTCGCTGACTTTTTAAAAAGAAAAAATAATTATGTGAAAAACTTTAAATTACATATTTAAGAAAAAAAAATCAAATATTAGCATATTTTATAATCTTTTTTAAATTTAAGTTATAATGTTTTTTATTCGTTTAGTATAGACAAAACGTGACAAACTCGAGAAAATAAACAAATGTTTTTACATTTTAAAAAACGAAACATTCCAAAACATTTTTAATTAATAACATTTCTACATAAACGATTTAAAGTAGTTTTGCGGTAATTAAATAAATTGGTGCAGTTAATGTCGATAAATATGAAAAGCAAATAAAAAGAATTTAATGACGTTAAAAATCACGTCGTGCTTATGCGTCGCGCAGCTCTTATTCATCGCATAGCCTGACATCTGTACATGACATGATAGTATGTAAATTTTTCCATGCTGTTTTTGTTTTTTCTAAATTTAATGCAACCTCATTTGCTGAACAAAATGAATTCTCCAAATTTGTTATTGCTCTTTAGAAGCCATTTTGCTACTTGTTAAAAAAACTCTCAAGTAATGAAACAATCAAAGTCAAAATAAAAAAAAAAAGAGTAAATGAGTCTAAAGTTTTTAAGAAAACTTAAGTTACCAAATTTTTTTTAAAATTGTTGAATGACATTTTTAATATAAAAATAAAAATTAATTTAAAAATTTTCCTAGCAGTGAAACAATGTTGTTTAAAAAAAGAAGTAAATGGGTCTTTTTAAGAGAAGTCATTTTGTTTTTATCGTTTGCTAAAATAATTATTTTCTAATTTAAAGCCTGATTTTTACTGAATTTTATTTTTGAGACAAAGTTTTTGTTGATTACAAGTAAAAATTATTAAGGGAAATAGGAGGAGGGCTTTTCTTATTAAGTTTAGGGTGGGTGAGAAAAAACAACCTCTTTTCTTTTATAAAGGGCTCAAGAGTAATGCCAAAAAACTTAAACTTCTGCTTGTTGTAGTAGTTAAAAATATAATCTTCTAATTCATTTAAAAGCAACTTTTTTTTATTTTTATTTGACAGCAAAAGCACAACATTGTGAATGTTTATATTATATATTTACTACAATATTTTTAACTGCAATACTATTTCAAAAGACATCTGCTAAGAAGAAGTTCTAGTTTATCTTAGCTCTAAAGGTACCTTTTTTGCTGATCAAACATCTATATACTCCATTCTTGAAAAAAGTAAAAAAAGAAACAACGAAAAAAGTAAAAAAAGTAAACAAAAGAACAAGATCTTGAGCTGTTTTGGGTCTTTTCTATTTTTTTCTGTAATTTTCTGTAACCGATTTTTACTGAATTTTATTTTTGAGACATAAAGTTTTTGCTGATCAAACATCTATAATCTTGAAAAAATTCATTCTTGAAAAAAGTAATTGCTTTTTGATTGCTTAGAACAAGATCTTGAGCTGCTTTGGGTCTTGATTTTTAGTTTCTATTTTTTTCTGTAATAGCTTGTGAATTTAATCCAAACAAAACTCAGTTTTGTACTGCTAAAATAACTACAGCAGTGTTATTGATACTTTTAAATCGATGAATGGCAGCAATCTAACAGTGTCCTTTACTTGAAGTCATTTAATATTTTTAAAAAATACCATAACAGCCTAGTACTGCACACACATATTTTAGTCATATTTTAGCTTGCTTAACACCATAGCTCTTCACAATAGTAACTATATTGAGTAGATTTTATTTTGATTATTATAATAACATAATGTGGCCATCATAAGTAATTGTTAGTTATTGATATTTTCAAAAAAATTAAATTTTATTTAAAAAATTTGTAAGGACATCTAGGATTCATAAATCATAAAATAAGAAAGTGACTTTTAAAACATTTCTTGAACATGGTCATTGTCAATTATGGTACAAAAATATACATAAGAACTTGCTCCTCATTGCAACAATACTCCCTATTATTAATAAACCTTCACTAAAGAGGAAGGCAGATAGTATTTTAAATAAATTATTATTAGCATAACTAAATTTATTATTGTTAATGACAATGTTAAAAACAATATAATTGTACAAAGTAGGTATATCACAATCAACCAATAAATTTGGCTGTGTTATGTTACCACTAAACAAAAATATTTTTACTTCAATTATAGAGAATTCCAGTTTCTTTTTAACTGTTGACTAATGATTCACACAGTAAATTTCATATCATAGAAATTTACTAAATTAAAACCAAGTAAGCAAACTATTTCAACAGTAAGCAAACTATTAAAGCAATTACAATTAAAAAAAAAAGAATACAATTAAATATAATTATAATCAGTTATATAAAAATTTAAAAAATTCGATTTGTAAAATTAATGCAGTGACTAATATTAAAACTAATGTATGTATATATATATATAATATATATATATATTTACTATAGCATATTTATATGCGCAATTGCTCACTTTTTTTGCAGCCTAAATTAAGTGAGCGTTTTTAGAAAACGATGAGGGAAAACGAAGAATAATGAATGAAAATGTTGCTGACCCATACCAAACCCTTAGTTGATGTAGCAGCACTCCACTGCGAGTCAGGCTTTTGTCAGTTGATGTATGTACAGGCAGCAGGCTATTTGACGTTAGGTGAGTATGACATCATCATGCAGGCCTTGTGATGAATAAAAACTGCGCAACGCATAAGCACGACGTGATTTTTGACGTCATTAAATTATTTTTATTTGCTTTTCATATTTATCGACATTAACTGCTCCAATTTACTTAATTACCACAAACTACTTTAAATCATTAATGTAGAAATGTTATTATTTAAAAATGTTTTTGAAAATTTCCTTTTTTAAAATGTAAAAACATTGGTTTATTTTCTCGACTTTTTTTTTTTACTAAACGAATAAAATTTATTACTAAACGAATAAAATACATTATAACTAAATATTTAAAAAAGATTATAAAATATGCTAATATTTGATTTTCTCAAATATGTAATTTAAAGTTTTTCAAATAATTATTTTTTCTTTTTAAAAAGTCAGCGATTAATAAACTGGAAATTTTAATATTGCACAATTAAAAACTGTGCAATAGCTAATATTTTTACTAGCGATTTTATATAATATTTTTTTATTTATTTATTTTTATTTATTTTCATAAAGCGTTTGATAAGCAC